CTTTCTGTGTAGAACGCGAGAAATACAAAGTTTAGAGTGGGATGCCTCTAAAGTCCACTAAACTTTCCCGGCTTAGTGCCAAGAAGGATAACCACTACCGATTTTCATGCTCTTCGCATGGAACTTTTGAACTTCGCTCAATTCAAGTTTTCACTTCAAATTGGCCGTCTGGGTGACTACCGTGTATTGGCTGAAACCTTGGATGGATTCAAACGTCTTCTCAAGTATCTTACTGAGAAGCAACACATTTCTTTCATTTTTTTAAAATACCCTCCACTAACCCCCACACCAAGGAGCTCGCACAGAGAGCCCCCTGGTAATGGACACTTACTAAAAAAACAAAGAAAACGCGGAGAAAAAACTACAATTAAAAACAATGTAAATCCCAGTGGCACAACATAGTTCCTTTGAAGGGATTCACTTACTCAACAGAAAATTCTAAATAATTTAAAGAGTGATAACGTTTGTGGCTTAACATAAAAAAATTGAACTTATTAAACTATACTATAATTAATGATGCAGGAAAAAAATAGCAGGAGCCAGAAAAACCTACATATGCAAATGGTAGACACTTTTAGAGAATATATTCATTTACGTTCATAATTATATACTGCTTCAGCTTGCTTTTAAAGAGAATTTTGTTCATTATTGCTTTCAAGTCGATGGGAAGTATATTGAACTTTAATGAACCGTAGTTTGTGATGCGACCTAGACCCAAGTTCGTGCATGCTCTGCTTCTCAGTGACTCATTTGCATGTCTAGTTCTCTGAAGGTTAACTCTAGTCGAAAAAACAATGTTGTGATGGAAATTACGGTTATGTAACGTGTTGTGCACATACAAAATTGTTTGAGAATCCTAGCCTTATGCTCCATGTTCGAGTGGGAACACTTCAGCAAGACTGGAGGAAATTTCCAAAACCTCAGGGATGGGATCACGGAGCCAAAAATTGATACATGACTGCTAAATGCATGAATTGTGGTAATTCCTCTTACGCAAAGGGCGACTGTCCTATGAAGGAAGACCCTAAGAAAATTAAAGGTTCAAATTGTGGTAGAATTCAGCTAAGAACAAATTCTACATTCGTACCTGGAGATACAAACAGCTCATAACCTTCAAACACTTCATTTATACCTATTTATACCTGCTGCTATACAATGTTCAGCAAGTAAATGGAGCAATGCTGTTATTGCAGCTAGTAGAAATCGAAATCAACATTCTAGCCAACATAATTCTAACAGAAATTTGGATGATTTGGACTTAAGTAGCATTACTGCTCCTAAAATTGATTTTTTACAGAAATAATTAATCGAGTACTGATGTGCTGAACACTACCCGAGCAAAGTCCAGCATCAAAATGACAGCAAATTGAAATCAAGTTTTGATATCAACATCAAACTGAAATCATTATTTGATTTCAGTTTCGCAATTCACAAATTTGATACCAAATTTTGTTTTCATTTTGCTGTACATTTGCTCTTCAAAACTATGTTGTTGCGGGTTTGTTTTCATTGCCTTAGCATAACATCAAATTGAATACTTGTTTTGTTATCAACAGGAAAAATTTATATCAAATTTAGTTTTCAGTTTGCTCTCACTGATAGAAGAAATAGTTTTCAATGTGATGTCACAGAAAGATTTTTTTGCTCTCAATTTTGATATTTTAACCGTTAACACGACCAAAACCACAGCAACCTGAGTAATCATTATCAGCGAAATAACAACATCAAATTTAGATTTCCATTTGATCTCAGACTTTGCTCGGGTAACTACATGTTTGCTGCAATTCAAACTTGAGTTAAATTGGCTTATAACATACTTAGTTATGACTTTGAAATTCAGTAATGAATTTTAAATCAATTTGAATTGTAATGAAGATGAGCTATTTAACTTTTAGAGAGTTCATAACGGGCATATCGCCGTGATAACTGAAACCTTCCTTAAACCTGACCATAAGCTTAAAAGGGACGCACATTATTTCATTTATCGAAATGATCGTCTTGATGGAACCGTTAGTGTCGTTGCCATCATTGTTCATAGATGTATCAAACATCAAATTCTTTCTTCATTTGAAACCTAGGTTTTTGAACTTTGGGCGTTTCTGTCGAAACAAAATGTGGACAACTATAAAAGCTGCCTATTTTATATTCCAATGCGTAGGCCAGCAAAAGAATTTTCTCTAGGGTGAACTTACCCGTCATAGGTCTAAATTTTTCATTATTGGTAATTTTAATGCTTTATTACTGGAATAATGCTCGAAGTAATTTCCATAGTAATATTCTATTTGATGATTGTTCTGTAGGTTATTACACTATTCAATATCCAAACAGCCCAACATGCTTTTCTTCAGCAAGAAATCCCTCAACTATTGATTTGGTCTTAACTGGTTCATGTCAACTTTGTAGCCAATTGGTTACCCATGCTGACTTCGGTTTTGATTACCTTCCAGTAACTTTTGAAATATCCCTATAAATAATTTCTAATCCCAACAGGTCTACTTTCAATTGCCATAGAACTGATTGGGAACAATATTGAACATTTATGAAATTTAAATTCGATCCAAATATTCCTTTGAAAAACCAAAGATGATGTTAATTATGCTCTTGAAGCTCTGACTACACACCAGAAAATTATGAATTTTAATGGTGATGTAAATATATATGCATGTTAAAATTAAAGCATGTAAACCTCCTTTTCACGTAAACTAGCAACTTGCAAGAAATATTTTTTACAAAGATGGATGGTTGTATGCAATATTTGGAATGTTTCATTAAATGACTCATACATTTACACGATCTGTAATGTGAATTTCTATGATATGTGACCAGGGCTGGCAAATGTCATTTTCAATGAAAGATCTCACGCGATATTTACAGAGATACTTCCGTCACTATCATTGGATGAGAAAACGATGATAGAGATTTTCTTCAAAATCTCATTGAATTTTTTGTCATGACAGAACGTGACAGTGTTGTGATCATCGTAATTACTAGCTCATTTAAGGTTCAATTTACTTTGATGCATTTTTTAAAAATTCCAAAGCAGTTTTTTTCTACGCATTATTTTAGATTGCAAAAAGCTCGCGTCATTTTGTGTAAAATATCAAAAGGAATCGAATAGTGCGAGCTTTTTGCTATCTAAAATAATGCGTCGGAGAAAACTGCTTTTGAAATTTTTCAAAAAGCATGAAAGTAAATTGAACCTTAATGCTTTTAAAGCTATTTGTACCGAAGAAATCTTAGTAATATAATCACTCTACCGATTACATACGATTGTTTGCTTAAATTCCTCTAAATCAGTTAGAAATGGTGATGTTATAACCACATAAGAATTATTCTCATGAGTGCTTGATCATTGAAAAATGACAAGAAAGCTAATGATAGGTAGTTTCGTCTCGTGATAGTGAGAGGACCAAGGTTGCAAAGACTCATTTCAGCTAAAATAATGTTTTTCGGGATAATAAAACCAAAAGATGGTATGATGGCATGTTTTACTTGTAACTTACAAGAAGAGGTTACAAAGTATGCGTTGGAAACATAAAACCTGTAAATTTTGCTTTCTATGAGTCACAATCAGCGATTTGCTGATCGCTGAGTGAGTGAGTGAGTGAGTGAGTGAGTTTGTGAAAAATCGCTGATTGTGACTCTCATGAAGTGAAATAAACAGGTTTAATATGTCAAACACATCCTTTGCAACCTCTACTTGTATCCTACCAATTCAAAATTTGATCATGGCATCTAATTATTTCATAATTTAGAAAAACATTGTTTTAGCTGAAATGAGTCTTTGCAACCTTGGAGAGGACCTGTTTTCTCATCGTCACATGACGGACGTGATATTTACCAGCTCTGTATGTGACGCTCCATTTATGTGCATCATAATGGCAGAAATTTACACTTCTTTTTCGAACTGTGTGCTTCTATAGTTGAAGCGAGAGCTGTTTCAATACCAAAATACGAGGTATTCGATTCAATCATAATTTTAGATGACAATCTTAAGCTCTTGGTCTATCCGTAGGAGGCAATATCAAAGAACACGCGATCCTGCCATGAAATTTATCTGGCGGGATTTGCAAAAACAAATTAAAAAGCGATTCTCTGTCCTGAGGAACAAAAATGCCACAACCCTCCTAGCTTGCGTGTTGCTAGGGTTTCTTGAAGTTTTATAATATTCCCTAAACTTTAAAAAAGTTTCCCATGAATCTACGAAGTTCCGTGAAATCATTTTCTTAATTTATAGCTTCTAAGAATTTTCATTGATTTCTAAAAAGGTTCTTGAACTTCCATAAAAACTCAGTTTAAAAAATCTGAAAGATTATACATCTTTCGCCACCCATAATTTTTAAATGTATAAGTAAATGCATTTTGTCGATCTCCCCGATGGTTTATGGTTTATATCTTGTCTCTAGGGCCATGTCCCCCCTTAGCCCAACATCCTAATTACGTCTATGCTGCCAACGCTTCCAAAACTAAACTTATTATATTTGAACATAAGCTTTCCTTTTTGAAACCTAGTAGTATTCACATAGTCACTATGAATGGAGTTACAATTTCTTGATCAAGCTAAGTGAAATATCTTGGATTAGTGCTTATAAAGATTACATTGAGGGTATTCAAGCCAAATGTAGCAAATATATAAAATATATATACAAGTTTTTAGAACCGGCATGCTTTACGCTGTGCCAATATGGTCTAGTTTTTGCAATACTAGGAAAAAAGCACTTCAAAGTTCTGAAGATGATTTTGAAGTTGCCTCCCTGGTACAGTACTAGCGAGGTACATAGAATTTCGACTGTTGAGACTTCAGGAAAAAATTGTTGCAATCCTCAATATATAAATTAAAACCACATTATCATCCCATAGTCGTTTCACTTCCGTGCAGATTACACTCAAACCGCAACGATCAATTAACGATTCTCATCGCACGCTACACATTATCCGAACCAAATCAGTTGAATTCTGCTAGTGTTTATATGGATACCTGTTCATAGAGCCATTCTCACCTGTTGAATTGGCCACTGTGTGAAGGTCGCCACGAGTGCCAGCACCAGCGACAAGCGTAAGAAACTCGACGTCGACGATCTTCGGTACCACATCGTGTGTGAGTGTGGTTATTGGGTTCACTGTTTACTGCCTTACATAAGCCACGCGAGATGACTTGTTTTGCACTCAGTGAACTGTTAAAAATTGATTTTTTTTTATCAAAGACAAGCAGAACTACACCACTATGAATTATGCATGAACACACGTTTTAAGATTTTCTTCCAGCTTCGATGGTGGTATCACGACATATCACACACGACTTTATTCACAGGATGGATACAACAATTTCTTTCGCAGGTACCTACTTCGGGCAGTGATGTGAGTTTGTACTTTTGACAAGGCGCACACTTCCGTCGCTACAGAACTTGTTATCAGCAGTGAAAGGGTTCTGTTCGACAACACTACTGTGGCTAATGGTGTTTAAAATGTTTCTCGCCGCGACGACAACGTAAATATTGTTCGCGGAAAGACCGCTTTCCGATGTTGTTGTTTGCTCTTTGCCGCAGAAAGGTATCTCGTGGCCAAGTCGAGGTGACTCACTGCAACCAATAATGCCGCGTCTAGTCACGATGACGTCCGATCGACGAATAAATGGGAGAGGCTCCGTGTGCACTTTCAGAGCTTACACGTTATAATACTGTAGTGCACGATACTATCTGCCTACTTACTGACTGCTTGCTCGAGAGCTGAGTGTGAGCAGAGCATTGAGTTGAGCAAGGTATATACGACAAGTGCCCGGAAGCGTAGCTGGGGTTGTTTCCAAATAATTTTTTTATGAAGTAATGAAATTGGTTTGTTAGTTGAATGCTTTGAAACAGCAAAAAAGGTTATCTTTCATTCAATTTAATTTAATTGATTGTTGTATCCATCACCGATACGTATTTCGACTACTATGTGCAGTCTTCATCAGTGTCAATCAAAGTAAAAACATAAAAATCTTACCCCCTTAAGTACTCATCCTCTTGATAAACATGTCAAGAGAACAGGTATCTGTCACATTTTTTGCTGTTTCAAAGCATTTCAACAAATATATCATATTAACTATATGGTCCATTCATGACTTTTCCATGCATTGCAATGGTGACCCGAAAATTTTGCTTCACGCACCATCTAGTGTTGAAAAAGGTCAGCAACAATCATCCAAGTACATTGTGTATATTAGATGGAAATGTTTCTGATGTGTCACTGTTGTCATCAAATAAAATAATATGATGAAATATATACATTTAAAGTATTATGCAAATTTCCATTTGGTTTACCCCTTGTGAAGATAAACAAATACATTGGTAGCCTTTTTGGCCACAGAGGCACTTTCATCGCTAAAAACTCACCGCCAGCTAAGCGAAAGAATGGATCATATTGTTAATATAATATATTTGATTCCACTAACAACCCAATTTCGCGGGTACGTCTATTAACGTCTCTTTAAACTGTTCCCCTACAAGAGGAGAATTTAGTTCATTCGAGACGGGTTTTAAACTGCAGCTGTTTCATCATTGTGTGTCCCCCGTTTAGGTCGGTCGTCCTCCCTCGTGTACCTTGGTCTTTGGGACCTTTAGGACTGCCTCTTGTCGAATGAAGTGGCATGACTACCAGTCATTTTCTTTCTAATGCCACTTCAACTTACTCATGCTTATATCATATCGTATAAGTCTAACGCCCTCAGGAAGTTGAGTACAGTTTGCTCTGTACTCCTGTCGTTGAACAATACCTCATGGATTGAACCAACGACACCCATATCTTCCCTTAATTGTGCTCTCGCCGGGCACTCCACCAATAGATGATTCACATCTAATACCGCGCCGCATCCCTGGCAGTAGGCCACACTGCCGCTAAATCGAGGTCCATGAGTGAGCCGTGTATGACCAATCCTCAGCCGAGTCAGAACTTTCTGATCTCGAGAATTAGGTGCATCCTTCCACTCTTGTGTAGTGTTCTTGATACGACGCAGGAATGCATCACGGTTGTTATGCCAAGACACATTCCATGCGTATCGCGAGGTCTGCTTCACGGAGTGGCCTCTAGTTGAGCAAGACGACCCTGGTTAGCTAGTTTATCAGCAGCCTCATTCTCTGGTATACCTGCGTGTCCAGGTACCCATGCAAAGGTTATGTTAGCGTACCGTTGCACCTCTAACAGCCACGGGTGTCCAACCTGCCCATGCTCAAGGGCAGAGAGACAACTCGCAGAGTCAGAGAATACAACAGCCTGAGACCCATTTGCTAGCCTACAAGCTTGCAGGAGAGCATAGGCCTCAGCTGAGAAGATACCACAGAGACCGGGTAACCGGCCGCAGCGGCTTATGTCCTCCCCAGACACCCCATAACCAACCTCCTCTTCGATTAATGAACCGTCCGTAAATAGCTTGAGCCTTCCCTCGTATGAGGCAGCGACCTCTCTAAATGCAGCTTTCGCCACACTAGAGCTAGCCCCCGCCCCGCACATAGCTTTAACCCTCCAATCAACTTTCGGGGCAGTAGCATCCCATGCCCGTTGCCACAGCCTAGCTTGCTGGGCTAACGTGGGAAAATCTACTCCCGTCAAGTCGCTCCACCATTCTCTCGCCCTTGCAACCGTGGGCCTGTCATTGAGAATGGGATCCCTTTCTAGGAGTCTTAGCGCCTTGGTGGCCAGGTCTTCGGTGACAACATTCACCAAAGGAACCTTTCCATTCTCCACCAACAGGGAAGCTATTGGTGAAGACCTCAGCGCTCCGCTACAGATTCTGTACGCCTCATTGTACTGAGGTTCCAGAATCTTGAGCAGGGAGACACCACCCCTGCTCCACAGTTCCGCCCCGTAAAGGATGCTAGGGACAACCAGAGCCCTAGCAACCTTGGTCAATGTACTACGAGAGGCTTCAGAGAAGCGACCATTTAGGGTCCGAAGGATATTCAACTTGTTGTTGACGTTATCCTTCACCAACTTGGCGTGCTTAACAAATCGGAGTTTGTTATCAATAGTCACACCAAGCAGTTTCATCTCGCGTACGGCCTTGACCGCATGCTCACCGATACTAACATAAGGCAGGTTCGGTCTGTGATGATGCCCAAAGCAGACGTGCAGCAGTTTGGACTTCTCGGGGGAAATCACAAACCCAACACCATCTGCCCAGTCAACGACAGACTGAACTGCATCCTGCATCTTGTGCCTAACCACCCTACCGTATTTACCAAACACGATAAGGGTAATATCATCGGCGTATACAATGATGTATACTTCCTTGGGAATGCGTTCAAACACTGAGTTCATCGCAATGAGAAACAGTGTAACCGAAAGGACAGACCCTTGCGGGATGCCATTCTCCAGCAACCTCGAGGTAGAGGTTGCGCCAGCGTTCAATACTCGGAACCTACGGTTCTGTAGAAAGTTTTCTACGTAGTTAAACATACATCCTTGGAAGTCCCAGCTCTTGAGGGAAGTCAAGATAGGAAGCTTCCATGTCATATCATATGCCTTGGACAAATCGAGGGAGACTACATCTACATGCAAATCTTCCGACGAGGCCTTGTCCAATAAATGATCGAGCTCAGAGAAGAACGTCTCCGACCCATAGCCGCATCGAAATGCGTGTTGCCGTGGGTGGATCCGTCCTTGCCTCTCCAGCTCGGTTGACAGACGACGGTTAACCATCCGCTCGAGTGTTTTTCCCATGCAGCTCAGCAGGGTTATCGATCGATAACCCTCTGTTAGGGTTTTATCCTTCCCAGGTTTGGGAATAGGAATAACCAACCCTTCTTTCCACTCGTCCGGTATCTGGCCAGAAAGCCAGACTTCGTTCATAGTAGCAAGAAGAGCCAATCGGCCGGCAAGGGGTAATCTCCTAAGCAGGGGATACCCGATGTCGTCAGGGCCCGCAGCCTTACCAAGGCCGCGGCGCAGGGCCCAGTTGAGCTCTTCAAGCACGAATACCCTGTTGTCGTCTTTTACTAGACTACACTGCCTGTCACGGGAGTAGCGGTACTCCCCCTCAGCCAATGACTTTACACGCAGGAACTCATCACTGTGATTGCTGTTTGCCGACACCTTGGCAAATTGATCAGCAAAGGCCTCACTGATAAGTCCTGGGTCTTTCGTGTAATCGCCATCCAACTTTATAACCCTCTCAACATGTCTGTTCTTACCACCGACAGACTTTACCTTTCGCCATAGCTCACCAGAGCTAGTGGTTTCCGATATGTCTGCGGTGAAAGCAGACCATGTATCCCGCTTTGCAGCTTTGATTACGCTTCTAGATTTAGATCGAGCAAGCTGAAACTCCCTCAATCTATCGGCCCTAGAAGGATCATCAAGCTGCAACCTACGCAGCGCCCTTAGACATTTACGTCTAGCCTTAATCGCTGTATGAACTTCTGTCCCCCACCAAGGGACAGTTTTCATACCTCCTCTCCCTCCAGCCTTTGGGATGTGACGATGAGCGGCCTTACTCAAGATTTGGGTCCAGTCGCCTGGTCTCAGTATCCTGTCATCACCAGGCAGTTGGCGACAGACTTCTTTGCCAAAGCTGTCCCAATCTGCCCTCTCAAGGTTCCATCTCAGCCTTGTCACAGTAGACGGGAGGTCTACAGCCTGTGACAATGAGATAGGAAAATGATCACTTCCATGTAAGTCATCGTCAACCCGCCAGATAAACTGGCTGGCTACATCCCAAGAGGCTATAGCCAGATCAATCACGGACTCTACCCCGGTGGTGGGATCGAACCGAGTCGGTCTGCCATCGTTCAGCACTGAACAACCCAACGTGTCCAGTAGCTGATACAACCTCTCGCCACGAACGTCCGTCTTATGTGATCCCCAGGAGGGGTGATGCGCATTCAGATCGCCCACTATCACATAAGGGACAGGCAGCTGCGAGATGAGATCTTGCAGTTTGCCGATGACGTTCACTTCCTTGCCAACCCTATTGATAGTTTTTTAACAATTTATGTTTTTCAAATACTATTTTTTTAAAACAAGTAAAGGGTGTCCACGATGAAATTGCCACACTATGAAATTGCTCGAACTTTTTAACCGTTGGGTAGAATTTAATGAAAATTTGGGTGGATTTAGTTCATAGTGCATTATTTACATCCTGCAAGTCAATCTTGCGCATTCATCACGAGAACAAGGATCTCTCGCATCGTTCCATCGCTAAAACGTTGGGAATCGCGAATTCCACGGTGTCGCGAGTGATTAAGCGGTTCGAGGAACGGTTGACCACCGATCGGAAGCCCAGAAGTGAAGGAAAAAGTATTCCGTACAACACCAAAAATCACAACCGCGTAGTTGGGGCCTTCAACCGAAATCCGAACGCCTCCGTTAGGGATGTAACTAAGAAGCTGCACCTAAGCCGAAGTTTTGTCCAGAAGGCCAAAACTAAGGCTGGGCTTCGAACGTTCAAGGTACAAAAGGCCCCTAATCGCGACGAGAAGCAGAACAAGTCCGCCAAAACTCGTGCCAGGAAGTTGTACCTCAACATGCTGACGAAAGTTGAATGCTGCATCATGGACGACGAAACATATGTGAAGGCCGACTTCAAACAGATCCCCGGTAACCTGTTTTTCACGGCCAAGGATAAGTTCAGCGTTCCGGAGCATGTCCGCACTCAGAAGATGTCCAAATTTGCGAAGAAATTCCTGGTTTGGCAAGCCATCTGCACGTGCGGGAAGCGGAGTGCAC